GTCACCCAGGATTCTCAACAAGGCAGGTTGAGGGGCTCCAGGGTAAGTGTTTGATACAGAAGAAAGTGGCTTTTCACTTTCCTCCTTTGTTTGTAAGGTCTGTTTTGGGATCTGGAGCCAGGAGATTTCAAAGAGATCTGGGAGGGATGAAATCTCCAATCCTGGGACCAGGTTTTGGGAATGGCCAGGGGACTGATTGCACAGGTGTGTGCAGGCCTTTTCATAGAGTCAGGACCAGGTTTCTGAGCTCCACCCCGGCAGATAGGAGTCAGGAGGGCTCCACCCCGGCAGATAGGAGTCAGGAGGGCTCCACCTGGAAGACAGGAGTCAGGAGGGCTCCACCAAGGAGAGGTGGAAGCCAATAGCAGCAAGGGGCTGCTAGAGACTAGCTATGTGCTAGTGGCCAGCTGTGTGCGAGAGCCATGTTTTTGAAAGAGTCTGCAGGAGACAGACGTAAGCCTGAAGAGGAAGGCCAGTGGAAGAGTGTTTATAACTGAGAGAGCCAGGAGGCTGAATTTTGTGTATGTGGATGATCGATACCCCTGTGTGGGAAACTTCTGATGTTTTGAACTTTCATTTAAATAAAAGTGGGCTAAAAAGGCCTTAAAAAGCAAGCGAGTTGCTGTGTGCGTTACAAAAGCTCTACCATTTGAAGCGAGTTCCCACAATACACACAGTAGTACCCCAACTCATTCACCAAAAATGCGAACGTTAAAAAAAAAAAACACAAGCAGATTTTGGCAAGTCCTTTATTATTAAAAAAAAGTCCCCCGATGTAAAGCCATCATCAATCCTAATGTCCAGCCATGTAGGTCCACATAAATCATGATGAACGATGGGCCACAGAGATCCGATCGCTCCCATCACTGGTCCGGTGTCAAATGACTCTCTGATTTTCCCCACTGCTGAAGTAAACAAAGGGGTGGGGTCATCTACTGATGCAGCCAGGACAGCTCTCAGTGACTCTGTCAGGTAAGTGTTTAGTGATGGGAGTGGTTAGATTAGGTAGTGGGGAATTTTCCTCCAAAAATATATACTAAAAACCTGTGCTTGGAAGTTCAAAAAGGACAAAGCAGCTTGCACATATATAGGCAGACAAAAACATTCATAAGATAAAAAAATTGCAGCGCTAATTGAACATTCACAAAAATGACAATAAATATACATAAGTGACAACAAAGTCCACGTGGGATTCCCATATATGAAAACAGAAACTGGTGCATAGGAAAGAAACTTCCAATCCAAGGAGGAGACTCTCACCTTCCACCCAAATAAATTGACCTCTTACCAGAAAAATTGATCGGCCAACATGAGCAGTGTATTAAATCCAGCTGGAACTGCAACCTGTCTTGTATGGAAAACACTCACAGAGCAATCCAGGATATTTCTCCAAATAAAACTTCAGATAGCAAACTTCCCCTCAGGCAACCACAACACTACACGAAAAGAAGATTTGCCAGCTCATAGTGTAGTAAGTTAATTGCTCCAAACAATTTATTCAAATTGCACTTACATAGCAAGCATTTAAAACAGCATAACAGTAACACTGTAGTAAGTTTCAAACCAACAAAATGGCCACTGTCCCTCCAGAGCGTGATGATGTCACATGGTGTGGTTCCACCGTGGGTTAGTCTGGGAGCTCATGTCAGGCCAAGAGGATTCTTCAAAAAATTACCAGATCCAAGAGCCAGAAAATTTGCTAAGCAAAAGGACATGAAAGAACCACTGTATGACAAAGGAAATCCAATATCACCACTGAGATGGACTTCCAAATGTACACAGACCGGGCCTTCTTCTATCTCCGCCCACAAAGCTTGTATACCCTCCTGTTCTACCCGAGGCTCCGAGCGGCTGACATCCCGTGCACCTCCTCACACAGTGCCCTAGTTTGTACTCCTTGGAAGAAGAATTACAGTGGAAAGCCCTCACACAGCATACTGTGAAACAGCACACAGTTAACCCTTTGATCACCGCACATGTTAACCCCTTCCTGCCCAGTGTCATTAGTACAGTGTTAGTGCTTTTTATTAGCACTGATCACTGTATTGGTGTCACTGGGGATGTCATTGACACCAAGCCAGTTCCCCCCAGTGTCATAATGCCCACTGCAGTCCTACAGTCCCACTATAAGTTGCTGATCACCGCCATTACTAGTAAAAATGAAAATTAAGAAAAATCCCAGTATATATACCGCAATTTGTAAAGGGTATAACTTTCACGTAAACCAATTCATTTACATATATTGGTATTTTTTTTTTTAGCAAAGACATGTAGCAGAATACATTTTGGCCTAAACTTATGATGAAATTAGATTTTTTTACATTTTTTTTTTACTGGACATGTTTAATTGCAAAAAGTCAAAATTATTTTTTTTTCAAAATTGTTGATCTTTTTTTGTCTATAGCGCAAAAAATTAAAAACGCACAGGCAATGAAATACCATCAAAAGATAGCTCTATTCATGGGAAAAAAAGGTCGCAAATTTCATTTGGGTGCAACATGACTGCGCAATTGTCAGTTAAAGTAATGCAGAGCCATAATGCAAAAAAATGGCCTGGTCAAGAAGGGGGGTAAATCCACTGGAGGGCAAGTGTTTAAAGTGCAACTATAAGCAAAATTTTTTTTTTTCATTTTGGATAGAGTAAGGAAGGTTATAAACCCTGTCAAATTTTTTTCACCACCGGTGTCCCATTGGGGAGATTTCTTTTTACGTCCTATTGCCAAATAAGAAGTGAGAAGCAATCCCTGCAAAATAAGGGGATTCTTTTGGGACCCCCCAAGTCATCTATGGAAGACTTCCCCTCTTACTTTTTTTGGGGACAACCCAACATTTGGGATTTTCTTTTACTTTCACTCTCAATCATAATGGTAAACAGAACAAATAGTGAGGATGAATCTTCATAACGGGGGCACAGACAGCAATAAAAATGGACAGGTATTCTAATCTCTCTCCATTCCATCCAAAATTAAATAACAAGTTTTGCCTTTAGTTATACTTTAAAGTTGTTGAAAAGGCTCAAGTTTTTTTACCTTACATTCTATGCATGAAGATAAAAAAAACTTCTGTGTGCAGCAGCTCCTCGAGCCCCCTCAATACTTACCTCAGTCTCATCGTGATCCAGCAATGTGAATGACAGCCTCGGCTGTCTCGGGTCTCTGCTTCCTTATTGGCTGAGGCAGCAAGCAGGAGCCATTGGCTCCAGCTTGCTGTCAATCACAGCCAGTCAGCCAATGAGGAGAGAGAGGGGCAGGGCCAAGCCATTGCTCCATGTGTGACACAGAGCAGAGGGTGCCCCCATAGCAAGCTGCTTGCTGTGGGGGCAATTGACAGGCGGGAGGGGCAAGGAGAACATATGGGGGACCCAAGAAGAGGAGGATCCGGATGCTCTGTGCAAAACCAGTGCACACAGCAGGTAAGTATAGACATGTTTGTCATCCCCCCCCCCCAAATGTGCAAAGAGAGCAATTCTATAGCTGCTACAAGTCACTGCTACATACTCTCTCCTGCCCTAGCCTTTAAATGGAATACCTAAGTTATCAGAACTGAAAGTCCTTACACAGCTAACACTGTGATTTCATAATGCTGCACATATCTACATCAACTACATTTTCTGTTTGTTTGTACAATTTTTAAACTTGCCTAAGAATTTTGGTGTTGTGGTAATACTGCATGTCAAGTGCTTGTTGTTTCATACATAGCTGCTGGTAACTGGATTCTGAATATACAGGATGGAATACATTGTAAGATGACTATGTTCAGTTGTGTGGTAATTGATTGATAATTTTTACTCTGATTTATTAAAATAGTAGAGCGTGTTTACTTTGTAACGTGGATGATTTTTCTCAATAAATAAAGTCAATCTGTGTTCACTTTGAATACCCAATCATGTGTGAGGCAAAAAAAAACCACAGGATTTCGACTTGCACATGATTGGCTTAATAAAATGAGTATTCACCTAATAAGTGATCGGCCTCTACTCCTTTATTAAATCAACCCCCTACTCTACAACTGCTTGAGCTTCCAACCTTCTTGACTTCTTTCTTTCTGGCTTTCTTCCACAAAACTCCACAAAAACTGTTCTTCAAAAACTCACTAATGATTTACTATCTGCTAAAACCAACGGTCATTACTTTGTACCTTTACTGATAGATCTTTCTGCTTCCTTTGATGTAGTTGACCACCTGCTCCTCCTCAAAAATTCCACTCCCTTGGCCTTCAAGACTCTGCTCTTTGCTGGTTCTCCTCCTACCTATCTCATCACACCTTATGTGTCACTTACAACTCTACCTCCTCCTCTCTTCTTCCACTTTCCATAGGGGTCCCTAAAGATCCTCAGTTCCCTACTACTCTCTGTTTACACCTCTTTCCTGAGTCAGCTGATAGACATATGTGGCTTCCAATATTTGTATGCTGAAAACACACATTTATATCTCTACTCTGTTCCCTGTCAGTCTTCTCACCCATCACTAATTTACTAACTGACATACACTTGTTCCCAAAAGTTTGCACACCTTTGGAGAATATATGCAGTATGTGCAATTTTTAACCACTTGCCCTCCAGAGGATTTACCCCCTTTCCTGACCAGGCCATTTTTTGCCTTACGGCTGCTTTAATTTAACTGACAATTGTGTGGTCATGCAACACTGCACCCAAATGATATATACATCCTTTTTTGTCCCATGAATTGAGCTTTCTTTTGATGGCATTTGATCACCTGTGCGGTTTTTATTTTTTGCGCTAAAAAAAAAAAGCCCGACAATTTTGAGGGAAAAAAAGAATATTTTTTTCTTTTTGCTATTAAACATGTCCAGTAAAAAAAATTTAAAAACCAAATTTTGTCATGCATTTATGTCAAAATTTGTTCTGTGACATATCTTTGCTAAAAAAAAAATCCCAATACGTGTAAATTAATTGGTTTATGTGAAAGTTATAGCGTTTACAAATGGCGGTATAGATACTGGGATTTTGTTTTTATTTTTACTAGTAATGGTTGCGATCAGCGACTTATAGTGAGACTGCAGGACTGTGACGGACATTCTGACACTGGGGGGGACTGACTTGGTGTCACTGACATCCCCAGTGACACCAATACAGTGATCAGTGCTAAAACAAAGCACTGACACTGTACTAATGGCACTGGGCAGCAAGGGGTTAACATGAGGGGCGATCAAAGTGTTAACTGTGTGCAGGGAGTGTTTTACTAGGGGGAATTGTGTGTGTGTTTCACTGTAATCTCACTGCTCTGAATGGCTGTGCTGTGCACAGCCATCCAGAGCAGTGTGCCCGAGCTGACAGGGAGGAGTACTGTTAGTAAACAAAACAGTCCTCCTCCCCGTCAGTGATCATCAGAAACCACCGAGTGCAGGTGAGTGATTGACAGCCATATCCGTGAATGGCGGCGCAGGCAGGGCGCTCGAGCTTGCCCCCTACCCAGAAATGCAAAATCACGTATATATACGTGATTTTGCACACCTGTGTCACCCTGTAGCAGTGTTTCTGCTATAGGGCGGTGGGGATGCGGTTAAAAAAAAGCAAGAGTGAGCAGGCAAAACATGTTTCTTTTATTTCTTATAGGATTCATATTCAAACTGTAGGTCATAACAGAATTGCACAACCATAAAGAAAACATGGCAACAAGTAAACAAATGAAATGACTCCTGTTCAAAAGTCTGCATACCTTTAGCACTTAATACTGTGTATTGCCCCCTTTAGCATCAATAACAGCATTCAGTCTTTTGTAATAGTTGTCTATGAGGCCCTGAATTCTTGCAGGTGGTATAGCTGCCCATTCATCTTGGCAAAATTAATGGGCAACGAATGGACAAATCTTTGGTTGTCTAGCATGAGTCGCATGTTTGAGATCTCCCTATAGTGGCTCAATGATATTAAGGTCAGGAGATCTGTGATGGGCGCTCCAGAACCTTCACCTTTTTCTGCTGTAACCACTGAAATATTAACTTGGCCTTGTGCTTAGGGTCATTGTTGTGCTGAAAAGTCCAAGAGCATCCTATGTGCAGCTCTCATGCAAAAGAATAAAAATTGTCTGCCGGTATTTTTTATTTTCTGATAACATGCTGCATTCATCTTGCCATAATTTTGTACAACATTCCGCATACCTTTAGAGCTCACACATGGTTTGCAGTGGGGATGGTTTTCCATTCTATTTATTGCATTCTATTATGGTCTTGTTACTCAAGATTAAAGCGTGCCAGAAGTTTTGAGGTGTGTCATGGCGTTGTTGGGCATATTGTAACTGGGCTTTTTTGACGCATTGGAGCAGTAAAGACTTCTTTCTGGCAACTTGACCATGCAGTTCATTTTTGCTCAAGTATTCTCATATTGTGCTCCTTGAACCAACCAAACCTACTTTTTCCAGAGCAGTCTGCATTTCTCCTGAGGTTACCTGTGGGTTTTTCTTTGTGTTACGAACAATTCTTCTGGCAGTCGTGGCTGCGATCTTTCTTGGTTTACCTGACCTTGGCTTGGTATCAAGAGATCCCTGAATTTTCCACTTCTTAATAGTTGATTGAACAGTACTGACTGGAATATTTAAGGCTTTGGATATCTTTTTATATCCTTTTCCATCTTTATAAATTTCCATTACCTTGTTACACAGGTATTTGATGGTACTTTTTTGCTCTCCATTGCTTAGTATCTAGCCTGCTCAGTGCATCCAGGTGAGAGCTAACAGACTCATTGACTATTTATACACAGACACTAATTGCAATTTAAAAAGTCACGAATGTGGGAAATTAACCTTTAATTGCCGTTTTAACCTGTGTGTCTCCTTGTGTGTCTGTACCAAGGCCAAACATTCCAGGGTATGTAAAGTTTTGATCAGGGCCATTTGTGATTTCTGTTATAATTATGACATTATGAAAAAGGAGCCAAACAACTATGTAATAATAAATGGCTTCATATGAACACTGTCCCTAAATAAAAGTTTTTTTGGCATGATCAGTCATATTTTCAATATCAATGCAACTTTTCACAAATTCTGTATGTAAGTAGGGTATGCAAACTTTTGAGCACAACTGTATCAGTATGAATGGCACACTACATCCTCAAACTCAATCTTTTCAAACCTGAGCTCATATAATTTCCTTCCCCCATTCCCTGTCTTCTCCATTGAGATGTATGGCTTAATTATCAGTTCCTCTCAAGGGTGCTAGGTGTAATCCCTAGACTGATTTCTCCTTTAGACTCCTCATCCATTCGCTGTCCAAATTTTACTGCCTTAACCTTCATAACTTCTACAAAATATGCCCCTCCTTAAACCAATGAAACCACAAAGTTACTAATTCAGGATATTTTACATCTTAAGAAGCATGTATATGGACTTTGTTTCAATATATTTCTGACACGTGTATGGACATTCATTTTGGCATATTGATTTTTTGTTTTCAATATGTTATATGCGTATTGCTATTGAGAATTGATGTTGGTTCAAATATATATATATATTTTTTTGTCACTTGATATACACAGTAGCACTTGGTTGCAGTTATTATATATATCTTTTTGAGCATTTTTAGTGAATCGCGGCACATGTTAGTTAAAAAGCATTGGATGGCACACTAGTATGAGTATGTGTTAGGTGTAGGCGATTCACAATTAGTAATTAATATCAATCATCACTTTACATAGCAACTCACAAGCTTACACTTTTTTATTTGCCTTCATGACAAGCCCTAAGTGATGAGTCCATGACAGGTTGGGCTCAGATGAAGTGGTTTTAATGCTGCTAGCTTTTATTTAAAGAAGATGACTGGTGACATCTAGAGGCAGAAAAGGTTTTTTTTGCAGAGGACAACATCAGATTGAAGGTGAATATTACAGCAAAAGCACCATTTTTCAATTTTATTTTTTCCTTTTAGTTCTGCTTTAAAGGAAAAAATTTGTATTAATGTGCATAAAGAAGCCAAGGAAAGATGGAAAAAATCTCCAAAAGGCATCAAATTACAGATTAGACATTCTTATAATATGTATGTGAGGTATCTTTGCCCATTCTTCCTTACAAAAGTCTTCCAGTTCTTTGAGATTTCTGGCCTGTCTGTCACGCACTGCTCTTTTAAGGTCTATCCATAGATTTTCAATTATGTTGAGGTCAGGAGATTGTGAAGGCCATGGCAAAACCTTCAGTTTACTCCTCTTGATGTAATCCCCCGTGGATTTTTCGAGGTGTGTTGTTTAGGATCATTATCCTTTGTAGAAGCCATCCTCTCTTTAACTTCAGCTTTTTCACAGATGGCATCAAGTTACCATCCAAAATTTGCTGAAATTTTATTGAATCCATTCTTCCTTCTACTCGTGAGATGTTCCCTGTGCCACTGTCTGCAACACAACCCCAAAGCATGATTGATCCAACCCATGCTTAACAGTTGGACAGAGGTTCTTTTCATTAAATTCTGTGCCCCTTCTTCTCCAAACGTACCTTTGCTCATTCTGGCCAAAAAGTTCAATTTTAACCTCATCGGTCCACAGAACTTGTTTCCAAAATGCATCAGGCTTGTCTATATGTTTCATTTGCAAAGTTCAAACGATGATTTTTTGTGGTGAGGACGTAGAAGAGGTTTTCTTCTGATGACTCTTCCATGAAGACCATATTTGTACAAGTATCTCTTTATAGTGGAATAGTGTACCACAACGCCTGATCTTTCTGGAGGGATCGTGCAGTCAAACGTGGGTTTTGAATTGTTTTTCTCACAATCCTGCGAGCTGTTCTGTCTGATATTTTTCTTGGTCTTCCAGATCTTGCTTTAACTTCCACTGTTCCTGATGACTGCCATTTCTTAATTACATTCCGAACAGAGGATATTGACATCTGAAAACGCTTTGCTATCTTCTTATAGCCTTCTCCAGCTTTGTGAGCGTCAACTATTTTCAGTTTCAGTTTTCTAGACAACTGCTTTAGAAGAAACCCATGGTGCTGACTGTTGGGGCAAACGGTCAGATGAGTCTGGGCATTTAAAACCTTTGAGATTGACATCATCTGGTCTTCCCAGACAATGATTGAGAACAATCCATGACACTGGCAGGTCTCAGCTTTGCAAAGGGGCAGTGCATGCTATAAATTCTGCAGGGTGCCAAACTTTTGCAGACGCAATTTTTTTGTTTTCTGTTATTTTGAAAGTGTAAATGATGGAAATAAAATCTAACTTTTGTTGACATATTATAAGAATGTCTAATCTGTAATTTGATGCCTTTTGGAGATTTTTCCATCTTTCCTTGGCTTCTTTATGCACATTAATACAAATTTTTAGCTGGGGTGCCCAAACTTTCGATCCCCACTGTAATTAATTTGAATGGAGACTTACCCTTGTGCAGTCATCTTTAGAAAGTGCTTGCAAAGTCTATGTTGATATACAGTATGTAGAGTAAAAGAAAGGATTTGGAATAAGGTTTGTTAAAAACCTTGCAATTTATATATTTTACCTACCCACAAAAATGCAGTTCCACTTTTAGATGATTACTGTCTAATCCAAAAGGCTTTAGTAGAAAGCACAACATGATGTAAATAATAATTATGCACTAGATGTTAGATTTACTAAATTAAAACAATTATTATTGTTCTGCCCATAATAAGCAATTAATTAATATATTTACAGAAAAACATATTGTACCTGTACAGTTATGACAACAATATTTCATTTTATAATTATATATTTCAGCTTGTAGAGTAAGGAAAAGAGTGTGGGTTAGGTGCAGCGTGGTGTGTGACGGCAGTAATCACACTGAGGCCCTGAATGCAAAAACCAGTGTATTGAAGAACTTGCAAAATAATACAACAGCCCTGTGTGGAGGTCACCCATCTGGGAAGTCACAGTCAACGCACGGGAGAGTCAGTGGTAGTAAGCCCGAGCTGAAGACAGAGCTTGCCAAAGGAGGTTGAGAGCGGCATGGCAGGTCAACCCAAGAGGGAGCTAGCGGAGGTGTAGATGTACAGTGGGGATCAAAAGTTTGGGCACCCCAGCTAAAAATTTGTATTAATGTGCATAAAGAAGCCAAGGAAAGATGGAAAAATCTCCAAAAGGCATCACATTACAGATTAGACATTCTTATAATATGTCAACAAAAGTTAGATTTTATTTCCATCATTTACACTTTCAAAATAACAGAAAACAAAAAAATGGCATCTGCAAAAGTTTGGGCACCCTGCAGAGTTAATATCTTGTACTGCCCCCTTTGGCAAGTATCACAGCTTGTATACGCTTTTTGTAGCCAGCCAAGAGTCTTTAATTCTTGTTTGAGGTATCTTTGCCCATTCTTCCTTACAAAAGTCTTCCAGTTCTTTGAGATTTCTGGGCTGTCTGTCACACACTGCTCTTTTAAGGTCTATCCATAGATTTTCAATTATGTTGAGGTCAGGAGATT